GTAGTGGTTACAAATCAGGCTGCCAACACCAAGGCCGGCTGTTTATAACCACCAGCTGTTCCATGGGAGAAAGACTAGTAGGCCAACTTTCTTACGGCTGGCTGTGTGCCATGGAGTTGGTTCCAACATATAGCAACCCTGTACAGGTTTTCCGAGGCTGTAAATCTTTACGGAAGCAGAACGCCTCATCTTTCTCATGCAGAACTGCTGATAGTTTCGAACTGCTGACCTTGCGGTTCGCAGCCCAATTTGTAACTACTATGCTACCAGAGCTCCTTAACTTTCTTATAGGGAATGTGAAGTTTCATGTTGTGGAAATTTCGAAGTTATGTAGCATTAGATTCAAGGCATTTTCATCCCAGTCACCAAGTCATGTGCAGATGGCATGAGAGAACCTTAACAACTTAGGCTGGGTCTCAGGCTGAGTTTCCTTATACAGAGGATTGTAGGGAAAGAAGCATGTCCCCTCTCCTTCCACCCCCGCAATCACTGTTTTTGGGTATGGGGGAAGTGATTAAAGTAATAAATAATTCACTTAATTACTTTGATTAAAACCTGGTGAAAAAAAAAAAAAGAATATAAACATGAAAACAACAAAAGCATGGTCAATTATAACAGTTTCTTTAAAAATCCAGAATCCTGTGTGTCCTCTTGATCAGGTGAGTAGTTCCCTTTATTGATCTTCAGTATCCTCATTTGTTAAATTACAAGAGTCACCTAAATCATTTCACAAGTCCCTTAAGCAGTAAATTTCTATCAGTCCCACAATCGAATGTTATGTAGTTGTAATCTCTCTGTACACATCTGCCAAATGGAGAATCTGAATTAAATGATCAACTTTCTTTCTCCAAAGACATTTATAGGCTGTCTTGATGAACCTAGCTCAATAATTTAACTGAAATAGTGCATTGTAATGCCATTACTCTATTTTACCTTAGCAAAGTCACTTAAGCTTCCTAAGTTTCAGTTACTTAATTTGTAGGTTGTTGTGGTATTATATAAGATAACCATTTTCTGTCGAGTTAATTCTGATTTAGGCAAACCCATGTGTGTCAGAGTAGATCTTTGTTCCATAGGGTTTTCATTGACTAATTTTTTAGAATTTGATAGCTACAAATTTTTTCCCATGTGCTTCTGGATGGATTTGAACTTTACACTGGTTAGCAGTCACAAGAGTTGATATTTTCACCATAAAATGAGTAGGGTGGTGCTCACCACAGGGTAAGTGTGTAATCAGTGTTAGGTAGTATTTTAACTTGACACATTTTGTGTTTTTTCCCTAAACTTAGCAACATTTGTGAGAAGATTACCAATGAAAAATGGAACTAGACTTAGAAACCTACATCTTGGTTTAAAACATCCCACAGAATCTAAGGAATATCATGTTTCTCCATTAAATATCAAGTGGCTCAAAAAAGCTGTTGTTCTGAAGCATAGATTTGGTTTGGGAGTACATCCAGAAGCTAAATTCACATAAAAGCTACAAACTAAAGTAAATAAACTCAAATAAATGTAGTTTTTATGAAAGGATAAATAGAGCATTTTATTAACACTTTTTTTTTTTTTGCAGCAACAAAATGACAGTTCACGCTTTTCATCCAATACAACAAAAGCTATGACCACATTACATCACTTTAAGACACAAAGCAAAAGGCATTTTTATTTTTATTAAGGTCAAGAATGGCTTGCATTTTTTAAAATAAACTTTGTTTTATATTTGCAATAGCAGGGCCTCCAGTCACTAGCACAATACAATGAACAGATCAAATATCCAGAAGAGACATTTCAATACATCAATAATATTTTGAGTTGAATTGGGAAATGCATTATTATCTTAAAACATTAAAGAGATCTGATGTTAACTTTTTAATGAGAAAAGAAAAAAACAAACAAACAAACATTTCAACCACCCAAACAACTACCAGAAACAAAATGAAGGTAATATACAGATAGGAAATTTTATGCATTGCACTTATTGCTTGGTACACAAATGTTGCAATTCCTGTTGAGTTATATTAAGAAATGACAAGCAAAATGCCTCTTCCCCATCGAAAATTCTAGGACTCTAGGAAAGTAGAAACTGCAATCCCCTAACCCAACATTAGGTGTATGCTATTTTTGGCTTTGTGTGAAGATTGTTTATTATGTTTCTGTGCATGGATGTATATAAGATATATAGATATAACTTTAATATAATTCATTGTCCTACATATTTTAGACAAATATCTTTTAAATGGGACTTTAAATAATAAAATTGTCTACTTACAACATCTCTATTAAGTTTATCTTTTCATATTATATATAGCTCTGTGGCACAAGTCTCATATAGCATATAATTATTAAGGAAGAAAGGTATCTAAATGATTTTATATTTTCTTTGCTTTTAATATTGCATTTTAAGGGCTACATCTCCTTAGTAAAATTTTTATTAGATTCTTAAAGGTGTATATATCTTTTTTTTTTTCGAATGCAAGTTACAACCAGTACAAAGTTGTAATAAAAAATACACTGAAGTCTATTTCATTTTTATATTTTTTTGCAAAAAAGTTATCTGATATGCTACGTGAAAAGTTGGATTTTATTGAAATGTAAAATGTTTTATACTGCTAGGTAAATGAATGGAAGAACATGAACCATACCCCTCACTTTATAAGGTCTCTTTCACAGAAATAAATATTTGTGCCCAATCATTTCATATAAAACACTGCAAGATATTCCTTTTGAGGTCCAGCAAAATATCTCGCATTATATTATCTCAATAATTGTTCAACACACTTTGCTAGTTGCTAGCTCACAATATACTTCTCTGATTGAGAGAGAGTCCAACTCCATGATTTACACTCAGCAAATGTCACCTGTGCCTGATGTAGCAATTATGACACTTCCACTTTTTGTTAAGCATGACTTTTGTGTGATATCTTGCAATACAGTGTAACAAAAAGAAGTGCATTTTTCATGATGAGTTAGCTTTGGCTTCCTAATCTTTGTAATATGGAATGTGCAACTTCCTTTAGTTGTGCTTTATTACATGGCGATGAGTTTTAGCTCAGGTGGACCCAATGAGTAACTACTTGCTTGTACAATTCTGACCAGTCAACCTTTAATTTACAAATGCAGGAATGTATGACCTCAATGGAATGATGAAATTTCACAACTTCTACAGATTGCACTTGATGGTAACTTCATGGGACTGGTTTGGTTTGTTTGTTTTTACAGCAAGACTTGCCAGGTTGATATGTTTACATGTTTACACCACAATTTTTTTTAATTTTTTTTTTTTTGTGCAATCACAATTAATTTAACCACGAACACTAAAAATAAATCCATCAGTTAGCTTTGTTATGAATAATCGTGTGGGTCCTTATAGGTATATGAGTCTTGTACTTCTTCTTGTACAAATTCCTCTTTCTTTTCCCAGCCATTGGGCCATGCTCCATTGGCCTGTGTTGTGGCACCATAGGACTTAGTGGTACCATAATTTATATAATTTTGAGTAATGTCCCCTGTTTCTTCATCAAGTTCATCTTCATGGATAAATCCACACTTTTCTTCACTTGTTTCCTCAGGGTCTGCCCAGGGCTGCTTCTCTCCTGAGGCAAATATTGCATAAAATATAACTCCACCGTAGTGAACTAGAGCAGCGATCAGGAAGACATATTGCCATTCTTCACGTGACTGCAGTAACAAAAAAGTGGCACTGTAAGAATAAACTCCCCGTGACTCATAGCTTAACACCTTCGCTGAATACTCCACTATTAAATTTTCATAAAACACTGTCTTAAAGGGCGCCTATGTTTTCATTATATAAACTAAATATGTTAGTAAAAAGGAATTGTCTAAAATAACATGATTTTCTTTTCTTTCTTTCTTTTTTTAATGTAAAGTTTGTATATAAAACTTTGAATAAATCTTTGGAATGCTAATTTAAAAAACATATAATGTCTCTCATGATTATAATTTTCTCCCATTCTTTTTTACTTCTTTTTTTAAATAATAATTTTGAAACTTTATATATAAGAACAAATAAGCCATAATAATATCCTTCCATGGATGACTGCAAAGGAGTCTGTATTGAGATTTACAAAGCCTAGAAAAGTTCTTGCTCTTTCTAATATGTGAGAAGAGAAAAAGCATTCACCATACCGGGGACATCAGAAATACTAAAAGGTCCTGGTATGCTGGAGAAGTAAGCTACTTTAGAGTTGCTAGGGTGATATTTTCCTATGAACCCCAATTATATTCCTTACTCAGAAGTAGGGTTACTGCCCACCAAAATAACATCAAATGACGTATTAACAGGCCATATTAATTCTTTTACCAATCATGATAGAGGATCTTCTACAACTGAACATCTGGTTGCTCCTGCTTACCTTATTTTTTGTCATTGCACCAACGATGATAGGACAAACCATCCCTGACAATGTGCCAACACCATTTGAAATGCCCATTAGGATACTGGCATATCTTGGAGCAATATCTAAGTGGTTAACATTGAAACCTGAAATACACACATAAGCTTTCACTCAAATAAAGTCAGTACCTACAAAATACCCTCTACTGTATGCACTGCAATTATTTGCAAGTTCCTGGGTACACAGCATGCGCTTAGTAATTACTTGTTGTTGAATTAGCTCAGGGATATAATGAGAATGGAATGAGGTATCATTTCTCATCCAGTATTGACTAGTAGGATCCCAGGTGTGGTGCAGTAAGATAAGCACTGGACTGCAAGATCAGTTTGAATTCCTAGATTAGTGATTCAAACTCACCAGCCGCTCCTCAGAAACCCTATACAGTGTTGCTATAAGTTAGAACCAACTCAATGACACTTAGCAACAGCAACAACAATTTACCAATACTATGGATTAAATATTTTGGATTAAATGATTTTCCTCCACAAAGAGGAGGAATTGTTTGCAACCTACGTTTAAAAAAAGGAAGGGAGAATTGGGGGAAAGAAGTGGTGTCAAGTTTAGAATACTTATTATTTTTCTTGTGAAACTGTGTTGAGAAAGCCTGTTCAACAGTCCAAACATCAGAAAGGAAAGCAGAAAGTCTATTAATTTCAAGCTAAAAAATCAAGGTCTACAAGTTTTGAAAAACTAAACAAACAAACCCAACAATAGAACACTGTATCTTACCAGATATAGCGAATCCACTGAATCCCACTGCAAGTACCAAGAATGAGATCGCCACTCCTCTAGTATGAGAATAGCCAACAACCAGAAGCAGTGTCGCTTCCATGCCGAAACCTTCCAAAGGAAACATATGGAAACAATGGAGAACTTCATGTAAAGTTTACCCATGAGCCAAAAGTGCTAAAAATGTTCATACGTATTGACTGAACAATTCCACTTCAGGGACTAAATAATAATAACAGTAATAATTTATGCATGAAGATGATTACTAATTATGATGATTAGCCTTCCTTATAGTATCAAAGCATCCAAAGCAACCTAAAATTTGAATGGAGAGAAGGGTCACGTTAGTTACAATAAATCAGATAATACATCATGATGAATTTATACAATTTGGAGTTGGCAAAATGATTTCAAATGAACAATCAAGCCACACATTTAACAGAAACTTTGTAACGTATGATGCCTAGAATACTATTTGCTTATGCAGATAACTTAGTGAAGTAAATGCATGCTCCAATGTCATTTATGTACGTACCACCACAATTCATGATCTTTCTCACTGTGGTAGTTGAAAGAATTTGCCTGCTTCTTAGAAAATCTGCAATCTGTCCTCCAATAGGGACAATAATTGTCATTACCAAGTGTGGAACAGCAGACAGCATGCCAACCTGATAAAAAATTAAATGGGAAAAGAATATACATGGCTATAAGTAATGAGGGATGTTTAGTGATCTTGGTTATTAATTTAACATAAACTCTTCATGAACAAAGAAGGGGGAAAAAGCTATTGGCAAATGAAAACTTACTCATTACTAACATAATAACTACATATTAATGAGTTTCTAAAGCTGAGAAAATTTACTTTGACCCCCCTAAGAGAAGGGAATGCTTATTTTCACTTTGTTTCATGTCAGTAAGTGTCGAGTTTATGAATCAGCCATTCTTAATCTCCTAACAGAGTGATTCACATTTCTGTGTCTATTTCATATTCTTAAAAATGTTTGCACAAATTCATCACAGGAGTATGGAAGAGAGAGAGTAAGAATGAGAACTGGAGAGCATGTGGAAGAAAGACAAAGAGGAGAAATAGAACCTACAAACTTTGAAGAGACTATATTTTAAAATTCATAATAGTTAAAAGCTTTAATTCCATCTAAAACCCAAACCAACCAGTATCAGTTCAACACTTTTTTTTTTCTTGTAACCATTTGTAAGACAGTGTTCTAGGAGCTAAGAAGGCAGAAGTGTGGATCAAATGCATTTTGAGCTTGTATTACTATAAAACCAGAATTGGCAAATTTTGAATGTAAACATATATTGGAAGCTTCTCACTAACTTCTCATTGAAAAACAGTGCCTAGCACGTTATATGCTAACTACTAGATATTATTTACATTTAAGTATGTTTTTCCAATCCAAGAACTGAAAGTTTGAAACAAAGATTCTGATTAAATTTTATATTGGCATACAGTGTAGTGATTATGGGGTTGGGTTAGTATGATAAATAATTGAAATAGTAAATGCTAAAGTAGGTTGTTGTTGCTATTAAGTGCCAACGAATAAGTTCTGACTCATAGAGACCATGTATAGGTTTCCGATGAGTGGATGGTGGGTTTGAACTGCCAATCTTCTGGTCAGTAGTCCAGTGCTTGTCCTACAGCACCATGCCAGGAGTAATGTAATTCACTCCTTGTCCCTAGATGGAAATTGCTGCTATTATGTTCCCATTTGAATGGTGAAGAAACTGAGACTTAGAAAAGTTAAGTGAATGCCGGAGCCAAGTTTTGAGTCAGTTCTGTCTGAATCCAAAGATTGAGCTCTTAACCACTATGCACGGCTCAACTGCTATTTGAGAAAGAAAATTCAAATAAAACCAGACAACATATAAAAATGTGTTCTGTTTAGCTCAAAGCCTGGGATTTGTTGGTGTTAGGTGCCATCAAGTTGGAACTGACTCATAG